GGATGTCTGTGTGTGAAACAGTGGCACCTTCTTCGTCAAGACTTTTCTCTGAGCAGTTTTGAAATCCTTTCTGCTTACCTTTGATGGGCAAAGAAATATACTTTAAGTTTACTCCTGTTATTACTGCAGACACAAGACACGAGTAGGAGATTAAGCGAGATTATTTTCTGGCCTATGCATCACCAACGGATCTGTGAACTAAGTTGCAATTGCAAAATCTGTATTGCTGCTGATCCATGAACTGGAAAGAACAGCTTGTTTTTCATATTCTAGGAGGAGCCTGTGGCACTGGCAATTAGGAATAAAAGAAAGCCATCTTCTTAGTTGTAAGTTGTACAGATTTCTAACTCCAACCCAAAGAAATATAAATCCACATTTGTGGAAAAACTAGTCACACACTCACATTGTCTCAAGAAAAGCAACTCTAACAATACTGGGTTCTTTGAACCCAATCTGCTTCTCATTCATTTTTCTCATATTCTTTGTGTGTTTTCATTATTTCTTATGCTCAAATTTATAGATTGAGCTTTTTAAAAGTATTTTTACTTTACATGTATCTTTGGTTATACATTTGCTGAACCAAATTTGTCACCACAAAAAATACAAACAAAAATGAAAGCAAAGCACAGGACAAAATGTTGTGTTAAGTATCTTTTTAGTCCTATTGCTGGACTACATCCTGAAGACATTTAGACACTTGAGTAACTTTACTCATGTGAGAAATCTCTCGGAGTTCAGTAAGACCATTGGGAAAACTTTCAAAACATGTAGGTGGATTAGGTGCTTTTGAAAATGTTATCTACTTACACAAGGGATGTTAACAGGGATTTCAGCGTTGGCCCATATTTTATATACAGTATTAAGTATGTTATATTGTATGATAGACAGAGAATCAGTTTTGGCATTTGTACTATAGCAAAATGTAATTTTACCATTTTAAATGTCTATGGAACTAATATTCCATTTGCTACACATGCTTTAAAATAAGAGCTCTTGAAATGTTAACAGCTCTTGAAGAAGTCCATCACAAGTATTCACGCATATTCAGGGTCTTTTATTGAGGGTTGGGAAATTTGGGGTTGATGGGGGGAAAGCTCTCTGCTTTGAATGATATGAATAGGATGTTATAAAGAGGATACATTATTGGAAAAATATATCACAATGTTGTATTGTTAATTCATAATATAAACAGAAAATATAGATGTGTGAACTAGTAAGATGATTGTGTTCAGATGACTTGATATTTCCACAAATCTTTTCTCCATCAGTCTTTGTTTGCATTGACAGCCAATATATAATTTGTAAGGCTTCCCTGCTTCTGTCTGACATTAAAGTGCTGCTGTATGCTGTTTCAGCGATACAAAATACTTAAGGCCACATAGCAAGTCAAGGTAGATATTTCCAGAAAGGGGGATAAAGAAGGAGAATCCTTTATGTTTATGGGTAAAGGGCAAGAAAAATAGAGAAATAAGGTAAGTGAGGTAATATTAATCTGTTTGTAAAAGAGACAAGCTTTCAAGCTCCTCGTCGGTTGTCTTTAGGTCAGAAAAAGGTAATCAGTATCACAGCTAAATACAAGGAAAAACCAGAATGCTAAGCATAAAGAGTTAACAAATATTGCAAGAAACCTAGTGGTGACACTCCAATTTCTTTCTGAGACCTGAAGAAGAGCTCTGTGGAGCTCAAAGGCTTGTCTCTTTCATCAATAGAAGTTTGTCCAAGAAATATCACATCTACCTTCTCTATCATATCCTAGGACAAACATAGGTAACACTGCAAACAAAAAATATTTTAACCCGCTTGGCAGTTTCTGCGAGAATATCCCAAACTGCATGCCATTTCTACTACCACAGGAGCAGAGGATGAATTTTGGCCTGTTTCTCTCTCCAATGCAAATCTCTACTTCACCCATTGCTTTACTAAGAAGTTACAGGTTCTACTGCTGCTGGCTCTTGAGAAACTTACAGAAGTGTCCCAAGATTTTACTATGTCAGGGAACATCTCTTCATGGAGAAAAACAAAAAACAAAAAACTAGAAACTTAGGAACTTGATGTGCCCTTTGCAGTATTTGGTGGGAAAAGGTTGATAGTGATGTTGAAATATAGTTGCAAAACTTACAAAAATGTCCAGAAAACTGAAACGGCAAAGGCCAAAAGGCAAGAATACATATTCCATATTAAGGCCTTGATCCATCAACTATGTGTGAGAGGACTGTTACAGCAACCAACCTCACTGGACACAGCAGACTCCCCAAATGTACCAAAAAATTGCAGGACCTGAAATAGATGTGATCAGGGATCTAGTTTTCTCATCCAGAAACTGGATTTAAAAATTCCTCAAATCATTTATACAGTGTAAGCTTATCTGCACAATTAACATTGCCGCACTTTGTGAGAACAGAATAACTACAAAAATCAGGAGCTGTTAGTGAATATCCATCAGATTAAATATTAGACATAAAACGTGGGGGTGAGGGGATATCTTAGGTGTGCTTGTGTTTTTCTGTCGCTATTGGGTTTTTTATGGAAACTGGCATTTGAATAGATGACAAAGAGCATCCCAGACTTTCAATAGCAAACATTCCTGTGCTATTTCCTGAAAATAAGCATGAAATTTTAAAAAGGAAACGTTTTATAAAGTAAACATATTAAAAACATTCACCCAATTTGTCCATCTAGCATTAGTCTCCCGCGAATAAAAAGGCCACCTGTCAACTAAGATCAAGAACTCTCATGTGGCAAACTTCAGTCACAAGATGTGTTTTGGACTCTGCAATTACTGGCTAGCACGGAGACTGTGGGCTCCCAATAACAGTACAATTTTTTAATTTAAAAAATAGTAGGGACATTTTAATAAGAGCAAATTTTAGTACGCTTGTACAATTTTTTAAACTTCATTTTTAAAACAGATTAACTTTTTGTACAATCTATTGTGCAGTCATACCAAACACCATGCTTCTGGATGATCAAAACCAGAGTGCTTCAGCCTCCCCCCTCACCAAAGAAGCATGAAAATTCATAACACCTGGTTGGTCTATCATCTTCATACAGATGCACAGCACTAGGCACGTGTATGGCTATGTATAGTTATAGCACTAATTTTAAAAGGCTACAAAATTAGACCATCAGGAATGGTTAACATTTTACATTTGAAATGTAAAGTTATATATTAGGGCTATTACAATTTCATAGTGCTATGAAATGGTTTCAGTAGAATGGTCACATAAATTGAAAAGAAACTAATGTCTCTTCAGACACTAGAAACCAGAGGAAATTTTCTCCAACATTGGACACTCTGCAGCTAGCCAATGAATCTCTGAACCACAGCCTGAAGAACAGGGCTGGGGAACCTTTTTTGGGTCAGGGGCCACTGACCCACAGAAAAATCTATTGGGGGCTGCACACAAGTGAGAAGCAAAAAAAACCCAAACCAAACCCTCACAAATGTGGCCCCCCGACTGAGAAGGAGAAGGACACTCCCCACATTCTTATCACACAGCAGAACCTTGGGGGGGAGGGGGGGGCAGGCTAGTAGATTTTGTGTGCTCCAGCCACATGGGGGGCTGGAGCACCATCATGGAATCCTCAGTACTAGGGGGAGACCCAAGCCTTGGAGGCTGGATCTAGGCAAGTCAGGGGCCACCCCTGGGCCTGAGGTTCCCTGCCCCTGTTTTAGGAGCACAGATGTGGGCCACTTCATGAAACATCAGAGAGGGCAGCTCTTTGCAAATAAACTTTAGTTTGTTTGCCATTTATATAATCTGAAGTGTCAGTTCAAAGACATTCCTCCTGTTCCTCTGTGTTTTTCATATCTTATATCCTGTTATTCAGCTGCTCATCTAGGAGCAAGGTACATATATGACCCTCCTTAGCCTAGAATCTGAATGTAATTTGCAGACACTAGGAAAGACCCTGTTAATTAGAACTATCAGGGAGGTTCTCTGCCACCAGCCTCCTCCCCACGCTGCTCCTCCCCACGGCCAGCTCCTCTCTGGCCCCGCTCTCACTGTGCTCCAGCTTGGCGGTCCTGGACTTGGGCTTCAGCCCACTGTGACTCCCTATGGACAGAGCTCCCCAACTGCTGTGGCCCTGCTTCTTCCCTGCTTAGCTGGGGATTCCCAGGGACAGGGCTTGCCGGCTGCCTGGCTTCTGCGACACTCCACAGGGGATCTCGAGGGACAGGGCTTGCTAGTTGCTCCACTTTTGCCACTTGCTGCCCTTTTCAGCCAGGGCTCCCAGCCGGTTTACACTCCCGGGCGCTGGGACTCTGGTAAGACCACGGATGTTGCCGGACCAGAGTCCTGGATTTAGGAGGTTCAACCTGTACCCAATGCAATGGTTTGGGGGCTTCCAGCTTTGGCAATTGCCATCAGAGCATGGTTCTTCAAAACTACTATCCATAGTGGCATAATAAATGGCAGAGATACAATCCACTAACTGAAGGAGCCCTCATTAAGATTTCATAGAGTTTTAGATATACAAGCTGCCAGGCCACATCACTTCCTCAAAGAGAAACTGGAATCCAAAGTGGTATTCACTTTAACCCCCCTTTAATGCACCAAAGATTTGATGTATTCATTTGAAATGTAGTTCTGAGTGAACTTTATTAATTAGGTGTGTGAGAAAAGTCACATCTTACTGCATGTGTTTTGGAAAGAGCTGAATGAGTTATAATTAGACATAAATATGACCCTGCCAAATCAAATATATATTGGAAAATTTATCATTAAATGCACATCTTTATGAATGGTTCTTCAATGTTTATACTGGCTCTAATTGATCATTTTAAAAAATTTCTGTTCAGTTTTCTGTAGCACAAGACAGTTCCTACTGAATTTTATAAATGTGGTTTCACATATGATAACTCTAGGGATGGTTAGTAAATAAAGTATAGGACGTTGTTCTCAAACTTTACATAGCTTTTGCATTTTCCCATAAAAGTACTTATATCCCAAAAAAGTATTGAAATAAATCACTTAATAAGTGAGAGCAAAAAAGACTGTTGGTACTAAAGCCTTTACTGTAATAAACGAAATATATTTACAATTTATACAAATGTTTGACCTTCAACAAAAATACAAAAACATATCACAAGATGCAAAACCAGGAAAGCAAGTTCATCTGAGACATCACTGCTCTACACAGGACAGAATGCAAGTTGAACTGCAAGAAAAAGAAAGGTAATCCCACATATTCAGGCAATGAGAAAGGTTTGTATGAGATCACAAAAAAAGAAAGAAAGAAAAAAGGCGGCTTCAACATTCATCAGCAGACTCCTTTTTTTAAATCCCCCAAACCTAGGCTACATCTGTCCATCTTGCCTCCATATTTCATTTGGTCCAGGTAGCTGATACCTAGTTGCTGGATGTTGGCTTCTATTTTGTATACTTGGAGTTGTTTCATTTCAAGATCTGCAATCCGGTATTTTGTTCCATTTTTTAAAAAGGTTAAAACCTTTCTACTTCTACAAATTAAGAACATTTGGCCCAGTTCAACTCTAAGTTATGTGCCCATCACATTTTTCAGTAGATGACTTCATAGACCGTAGCTTTCTTGTCTCCAGAACCAGTAACTATGTATTTATCATCCACAGAGATGTCACAACTAAGTACAGATGAGGATTCTTTGGACTAGATGGGGGAAAAAATAACAAAAAAATTGGTTACTAATTTGTTCAATAACTGTTTGAGACATGTTGCTTATGTCCATCCACTGGGGGGAGGGGAGGGTCTGTCTGTGTACCCAGTGAACTAGAGTCAGAGATTTTTACTTTAGTGATACTCTTTGGGGAAGCGAATTCACCATCAGCCACCTTGTGCTGTTGGATGCTACCCCAAACCCTCTCAGTTCCTTCTAACCAGATGGGACTCTGCTATAGAGAGAGTGATGGGTACATCATGGAATGCACACATGCAATACATCTCAAACAACAACAGTTACAGAACAAATTAGTAACTGTTTTCAATCCTTCAAGCAATTGCACGTGTCCATTCCACTTCAGGTGGCTCACAAAAAGTACAATCCGAAGATGGCTTTTGGAGTCTATGTGAACAAGGATTGAAGGACAATTTGTCCAAATGTGGCATCAACTTTGGAATGTTGAGTATAGCATAATGAGTAGTAAGGCTACATTGATGACCAACTTGCTCTACAAAGTATCTGTTACAGGTACATGAGCCAAAAAAACCTGCTGAAGCTGCTTGAGATCTTGTAAAGTATCCTTCCACCCCATGTGGAGGGGGTACCTAGCTGTGCAGCATCATAGAACTGATGCATGCAGGATGAAATCCTCTGAGTTGAGACTGGAAGTCCTTTCATTTTGAGTGTAACTGACAAACAGCTGGGACAATGATTTACAAGACCCAATTCTGTCCAAATACTCTTCTAGCATCCAGGGTATGGAACCTCTCCTCATCCTTATGAGAATGGTGCTTAGGAAAAAAACGTTGCTAAGTGTATCTTGTGCTGCAGGTCTCCAGCACCATCGATATCAAGAGATGTTCCCGCTGCTATTACTGATGCACTGAAGGAGCTGGCACTGTAGCAGAGATCCTTCTCAATGGCCCAGGCGTGCATGCTTGCTAGAGTTGATAACCCGTGATAGGAGAAGGTTGGTAAGAGGGAATATATCTTCCCAAAGGATATCCTAACTCGGTGGTCTCCAACCTTTTTACACCCAAGTTCACTTTTTAAATCTCAGAACAGGCAAAGATCTACCGCCCCGCCCCTTCCTTGAAGCCCTGCCCTCTCTATTCTCCTCCTGTCCATCATTTGCTATTCCCAGCCCTTATTTACACCCTCTGATAAACTGTTTATTTTTAAATTATGAGATATATAAAATTAAAATCACGTGTTTATAGTTATTAAATAAATGGTCTGTTTTTTATTCATGCTATTTAAATCTAAAATGAAGCATTTATAATTATACATTTTGTGGGGACAGAGTTCTGCAGCAGGGGGCACAGGAGAGGGAATAGGATGCTGGGAGGGCAGAGGACAGAATTCGGGGAGTGCGGATGGGAATAGGGGCAGAGTTCTGCAGCTGGGGACAGGGGAGTGGGGACAGAGTTCTGCGGCTGGGGCCAGGGGATTGGGAACAGCGTTTTGTAGCTGGGGGCAGGGGAGTGGGGACAGCATTCAGGGAGTGGGGACGGGGAGTGAGGACAGCGTTCTGTAGCTAGAGAGTGGGGGCTGGGGAGTGGGGTGCCAGTGGAGGCAGCGAGTCCCCTGCATCTGCCTCCTCCCAGGATTTCCTTCCCCCCCCGCCAGAGGGAAACCAGTGCGTGCCTGCCCCGCAGCCGACCCCCTCCCCCCCTTGCGCATGCCAAGAAACCCCCTGTGTGCCTGCCCCGGAGCTGATTAACCCCTCCTGTGCAGTGCTGAGAGCCAAAGCTCCCTCCCACAGTACACCCGGAAGAGCAGCTAGCATACTTCCAGAATTGCCGGAAGTGGCACTAAGCTGCGGGACTTCTGTCCATTCCCAGGAAGCCGATGCTACCTCCATTTTCACTTGAGGTAAGTAGTGGGGCTTCTCGGGGGTGAGAGGGAAATGGGAGCGGGGAGGACAGGATGCCTCGCGATCGACTGGTCGAGGACTCGTGATCAACCAGTTGAGGCCTCTGGTGTCCACAGTCCTAACTTGTCCTCCAAGTTGTTTACTGAGATGGTCCCTGGGACCTTAGTCTTTGATCGGACCCAACTTTTAGCTCCTTTGACAAACAGGGATGTTAAATAGGGTTAGTAAGGTACTTGAGTAATTAACAGAATTTTCCATCGACTATTCAATTAGTCAGTAAAGGGGTTCTCTGCAGCTTTGCTTTTTGCCACCGGGCTCCTGCCACCAGGCTCTTACTACGTATAAAAAGCAAAGGCACACAGTTCCCCACTACACCTCTGCCACTCCTGCGCCTCGCAGAGAAGGTGCTGGGGGGAAACCAGATTTTAAGCCAGTTCCCCCCAGCACTGGCTCCTCCCCCACCTTTCTGCCTGATACAGAGGCAGCAAGGGGGAGGATTGATTAGTCAGGTAGTGGACTACTCGCTTGCATCGCTACTGACAAATGGTCTGATCTTCCATGCTTCTCTCACCAACAAAAAAGGGGTGACCTTTACAAGCAGTGTCCCAAGGGACACTCCTCACCAATGCCAAAGTACTTCATACTCTCCTTGACAGGAAGGTACAGAATGTGGATGCAAGAGTAGCCTTTCTGAAGATGTGTGGCACAATCTCACCTATCTGTCTTTTTTTGGTGTCTGGTTTAAAGTCCTTGCAAATCTGGCAGGGATTTCAAATGTATCCCACAATGAGGCACTTCAGGCAGGTGAAACAAGGATCACTCACTGACAGATTTCTTGCAGCCAGCACACAATGTAAAATCCAGGGACCCCAGCATACCCACAAATAAGAAAGAACCAAGAAAAATGAATAAAACTGACACTAATCTAACACCAGTGCATATCACTAACTTTATCGATGTCTGTAAAGGAAGATCATTTCCACATAAAGGGAGAAACTTGCAGGAGCATGTGCATGAGCTTTGACTACAGATCCCAGGAGATCAGAAGGATCTGAGGGAGGTCTGGGGCAGCAGCACAAGGGAGCTGAAGGTGCATCTGCAACCCCAATGGGTAACTCTAAGGGAAAAGTTTCCAGCTCTTGTGCATTAGATGCAGACACCAGAAGTAGAATGGACATGTGCAAGCACTCAAAAAATATAACATTAAAAAAATCCTTTTTTTTTTTCCATCTTCCCTCCAGCACACATTTCTGGTTTCAAATAATACAGAGCACATAGCTGGAGATAAAGGCCCAATCTTTGTATTGCCACTATTTCATCTTTTTTCTAAACAAAACAATACCAAAAAAAAGCTATTACTTATACCTGGAATATACTGGCTCCATAGGGGGTCCGCCAGGCATTAAGAAGGTTATCTTTTCCAGTACTCACAAACCATTTACCTAGAAATTTAACAGAATGTCTATGAGAGCATGTAATAAAACATCTAACAATTCTCAGATTTTTACATTTAACTCACATTTATAAAATTTAACTCAACAAGCCTATTAACCTCTGGAGTTATTAGCTAGATGATCAGCACTATTCAAAGCTCTGAGATGTAAGCAGAAACCATGTCGTTGATTAGTACTGTGTGTGTGAGAGATGGGGGACAGAATGTGAAACCCACCCCATAGGAATGCTGCTGCTGCTTGTAATAATAGTACTTAAAAAAACCACTTCATACGTAGAAAGAGCTTTACAAACATGAAATTCTCATAACAGCCATGGGAGGAAGAGAGAGATATTATCATTATTTTACAGAGACAAGTAAGAGGCAGAAAGACAAAGCGACCTCCCCCAAGTCACCCAGTAAAGTAACTGGCAGAGCAGGTATTCAAACACAGGTCAACTTACCACAGTAAGCAAACTTAAGTGACAACACACAGCTCTCATGAAGGTGTAGTTGATACTTGTCTGGTTTATTTACATGTAGTACTTCCACATTGCTGCTTTCCATTCCCACAGCTAGCCATTCACCAGTAGGGCAATAGCCCAGGGAAAAGATCTAGGGGAATTAAATGAGAATGTTTACCTTTTTGCAGTGTTAATAAATGAAATAGCACAGTAAAGGAAAGAGACAAACAAAATCCAAACTGTTCACCAGCAAGACTACAGTTCCAATTCTGATAAGAGAATACTGGAATATTTAGTTATTTATTCCTGTAATTCAAACTATGTTTTTTGGGAGAACAAGTGAGCTGTCCTTTAGGTTATTATTGCAGTTTTTCTGCCAATAAACTATAGGAATACCAAAACATATTGCATGTTTTGGCTTCTCATAGCAACATAAAAGTTTCTCACTTGCACTGGATTTAGTTCTTGAGTATCTTCCTAAATAAACTGGCAAATTAAAAAAAAAAAGTAGGAAAAACTAGTCACCTGTGATGTGAAGTCATGCTGTTGTAGCTGTCTCCCTTCTCTCAAGTCCCAGGATCTGACAGTGTTGTCCAAACCTCCCGTCCAGAGCTTGGTACCATCATTAGAAATGTCAATACAGCTGGCTCCATCTGTGTGGCCCTGGAATTGCCTGATAAAACAAACCAGATTGAATAATGATTTCCTGCCAGTGCTCAAGGTAAACACTGTTGTGTTGTTAGTTTTGGATTCTGTGTGTGTGTCTCATCTCTTCTGTGTCTGCTAATGTGCAGGAGCCAGCCCCTCCCCCTGGCTGGACATGAAATGCACACATTACAAGAATCATTTTGCAGGTGTTAGGGAAATGATCCGAAGTACAGCTAGCTAAACAAAAGCAGTCAAATATTTCCTATCAGATTTTGGGAGGAAGGAAAGCTATTTCAAACCAAAGTACGACAGCCATCACATCTGGGAAAAATGAATGGCTCATCATGATTAAAAAACAAACTATCCACAGGACAAACTACTGGTTTTTGCATTATTTATTTTTCTGAGAGTCAAGATGACACATATGTAATAGATTTGGTTGCATAAACAGTAGGATATAATCCAGAAAACTAAAAGCAATACCATCATCATGACTGAATCAGCAAAATTATGCTCTTGGTGGTAGTGGGTCAGAGGCCCATGATCACGAAACGTTTTAATTTTAAAGCTTTGTATTGGGAACTCCCAGCTCTCAGTAACAAAGGACCATCTCAAGTTTTCCTTAATCCTGACATATGAGATTCCTGATTTTTTCACTGGCAATTGGCTTTGGAGAAGTCAAAAGGGAAAAGGGAGGAGGGGTTGACTTGTATATTAAAAATGTACACACTTGGACTGAAGTGGAGATGAACTTAGGAGATAGCTGTGTAGAGAGTCTCTGGGTTAAGCTAAAAGGGGTAAAAAACGAGGGTGATATCATGCTAGGAGTCTACTACAGGCCACCTAGCCAGGTGGAAGAGGTGGATGAGGCCTTTTTTAAACAATTAACAAAACTATCCAAAGCCCAAGATTTGGTGGTGATGGGAGACTTCAACTATCCAGACATATGTTGGGAAACTAACACAGCGAGGCACAGGCTATCCAATAAGTTTCTGGACTGCATTGGAGACAACTTTCTGTTTCAGAAGGTTGAAAAAGCTACCAGAGGAGAAGCTGTTCTGGATTTGGTTTTAACAAATAGGGAGGAACTAGTTGAGAACTTGAAAGTGGAAGACAGTATAGGGGACAGTGACCACGAAATAATAGAGTTCATGATCTTAAGGAAAGGTAGAAGGGAGACCAGCACAATTGAGGTAATGGATTTCAGGAAGGCAGATTTTGATAAGCTCAGAGAACTTGTAGGTAAGGTCCCATGGGAAGCAAGACTGAAGGGAAAAACAACTGAGGAGAGTTGGAAGTATTTCAAAGGGACGTTGTTAAGGGCCCAAAAGCAAACAATTCCGCTGTGTAGGAAAGATAGAAAATATGGCAAAAGACCAGCTTGGCTTAACAAGGAGATCTTGCACGATCTCAAAATAAAAAAGGAGTCATATAAAAAATGGAAACTAGGACAACTAACAAAGGATGAATATAGGCAAGCAACACGGGAATGCAGGGGCAAGATTAGAAAGGCAAAGGCACAAAATGAGATCAAACTAGCTACAGGCATAAAGGGAAACAAGAAGACCTTTTATAAATACATTAAAAGCAAGAGGAAGACCAAGGACAGGGTAGGCCCACTGCTTAGTGAGGAGGGAGAAGCAGTAACAGGGAACTTGGAAATGGCGGAGATGCTCAATGACTTCTTTGTTTCGGTCTTCACCGAGAAGTCTGGAGGTGTGCCTAACGTAGTGAATACAAGCAGAGAGAGGGTAAGTTTAGAAGATAGGATACACAAAGAACAAGTTAAAAATCACTTAGGAAAGTTAGATGTCAGCAAGTCACCAGGTCCTGATGAAATGCATCCCAGGATACTCAAGGAGCTGATAGAGGAGGTATCTGAGCCTTTAGCTATGATCTTTGAAAAATCATGGCAGACAGGGGAGATTCCAGAAGACTGGAAAAGGGCAAATATTGTGCCCATCTATAAAAAGGGGAATAAGAACAACCCAGGAAATTATAGACCGGTCAGTTTAACGTCTGTCCCAGGGAAGATAATGGAGCAGGTAATTAAGGAAATCATATGCAAACACTTGGAAGGTAATAAAGTGATAGGGAATAGCCAGCATGGGTTTGTGAAGAACAAGTCATGCCAAACTAATCTGATAGCTTTCTTTGATAGGATAACGAGCCTTGTGGATAAGGGAGAAGCGGTGGATGTCATATACCTAGACTTTAGTAAGGCATTTGATACGGTCTCGCATGATATTCTTATTGATAAACTAGGCAAATATAACTTAGATAGGGCCACGATAAGGTGGGTGCATAATTGGCTGGATAACCGTAGTCAGAGAGTTGTTGTTAACGGTTCTAAATCCTGCTGGAAAGGGATAACAAGTGGAGTTCCTCAAGGGTCTGTTTTGGGACCCGTACTGTTCAATATCTTCATCAATGATGTAGATATTGGGATAGAGAGTACTCTTATTAAGTTTGCAGATGATACCAAACTGGGTGGGGTTGCAACTTCTTTGGAGGATAGGGACATAATTCAGAATGACCTTAGCAAGTTAGAGAAATGGTCAGAGGTAAACAGGATGAGGTTTAATAAGGAGAAATGCAGAGTGCTCCACTTAGGAAGGAACAATCAGTTCCATACATACAAGATGGGAAGCGACTGTCTAGGAAGGAGCATGGCGGAAAGGGATCTAGGGGTCATAGTGGACCACAAGTTGAATATGAGTCAACAGTGTGATGCTGTTGCCAAAAAAGCAAATATGATTCTAGGTTGTATTAACAGGTGTGTTGTAAGCAAAACTCGTGAAGTCATTCTGCCGCTCTATTCTGCACTAGTTAGGCCTCAGCTGGAGTACTGTGTCCAGTTCTGGGCGCCACATTTCAAGAAAGATGTGGAGAAATTGGAAAGGGTACAGAGAAGAGTGACAAGAATGATTAAAGGTTTAGAGAACATGACCTATGAAGCCAGGCTTCGTGAACTGGGCTTGTTTAGTTTGGAAAAACGAAGATTAAGGGGGGACATGATAGTGGTTTTCAAATATCTAAAAGGGTGTCACAAGGAGGAAGGAGAAAATTTGTTTCTCTTGGTTTCTGAGGACAGGACAAGGAGTAATGGGCTTAAAGTGCAGCAGGGGAGGTTTAGATTGGACATTAGGAAAAAATTCCTAACTGTCAGGGTGGTCAAATATTGGAATAAATTGCCAAGGGAGGTGGTGGAATCTCCCTCTCTGGAGATATTTAAGAACAGGTTAGATAGACATCTGTCAGGGATGGTGTAGACAGAGCTTGGTTCTGCCTTGAGGGCAGGGGGCTGAACTCGATGACCTCTCGAGGTCCCTTCCAGTCCTATGATTCTATGCCTTCGTGTCAAAGGTGGAGAGGAAAGAGAATCTTTTGGGACTCCACTATAAATAATTTTCAACTGCCATACTAAAGGTCATTTGGCACGTTTTCTTTTGAACCACTGGTCTGAAAATACTAGGAGTTATCAATTAGTAAAACTAGCAGGCAATGGAAAATTAGAAGTAATCATATAGAACAGGCCTGGGCAAAATACGTTGAATCTGGCCTGCCAAGACACCAGATCTGGCCTGCGGGCACAGCGGGGAGCTCCAGGCAGGTTCCCCTGCTTGCCCCGCAGACCACTCAGAAAAGCAACTGCCAAGCAGTTTCTCATTCAAAACTGTGATCCCACTTTTCCTCCCCCTCACCCCAATTCCTTACCCTAAGCTCCCTTCTGCACCCAGCCTTCATCTCAGACCTTGCTCCTCCTCCATTAACATTATGGAAGAGTGCAGCCCTCGACCTCTTTCCAAACTCTTGAGTAGCCCCTCCCATCAAATTTTTTCCCCCACCCCTGATATAGAGGTATCCCTTATTGATACAGTTAGCAGAATCCTCACTCTTGTAAATCACTTTTGGGTAGTCCAATTTTGTTACAATGTATGAGGCGATTTTCAATATTTATGTAATAATGCTCACAAGACAAAGAAAAAACTTTAATACTACCCCAAATTATGCATTCACTCTTCATACCCATGAAAATTAAACATGCCAAGGTTTGCAGTGATTTGTGGCTGGTCCAAAATTCATTGGCACCCATGAGAGTTTTTATATTGACTTCAATGGGCTTTGGATCAGGCCCATTATGAAATGGGAGAATGTCTCCCAGTAATAGGCTGAAACTATCACTCAACTAACATCTACTTAAGTAGGATTCATTCTGTTCTCTAGACAACAGGTGTATCTACGTAACACTTTTAGCAAGAAATACACTATGTAGGTACAATAAATATTTTAGAGTAACTCACCTGACCAATGTCTGGTTGTGCAGATCCCATACTGCAATGTTCCCATCACTACAGCACGAGAAGCAGACCTTGGAATCAGGGCTGATAGCCAGAGCATAGCAGGCTGGAGCAGATGATGTCAGCTCTGCTTTTATACGAGGAGTTGGTGCTGCCAGGTCCCATATGGATAATGTGCTGGCTTCCCCACCAACTATGAGGGTGCATCCATCAGGCAGCAATTTACAGGAGCGGATGTAGTTATCTCTGTTCTGTGTAATACAAGCTACCTCAGTTACATTAATAAACGCCTATTGATAATAACCAATGACATGGTTCATTCAGCATCCAAGTTTTAAACACTAGTTTGTATTCTCCTGCTGCCAAAATATACAAATTTCACCAGCAGATTCTATGGCTTCAATCTTCTACCTCTCACCACACAGCAGAGAGTACAGCTGTGGAAATTAAGCTACAGTTTTTTTTCATATTGTGAGTACGGAAGCCTACTTTGTTTTGAAGCTGATGGAAAGCAATTCTTACATCTCATTACAAACCAACAGAGCCAAGCTAACAGAGCCAAGAGTTTGCTTGTTGTACAAATGCATGCCTTCTGCTAGGACTGCCAACAGTGCAGGAATATTTCCGAAAGAGCAAATGACCTCTTTGGCAGCGTGGAGAAATCATCTATGAAAAATAGTACATAAGTCATACTGACCTAAATTTTTTCCCTTAAACGCTGTTTTGATCTTATTTATAAATGCTGCACATTTTGTGTGCTGACTGCTTTTAACCTGTTTCTTGGGACTTAACACTGGATCTCCGTTTGTCAGCAGAGGTCTTACTATATAACTAATTTCATGTTTGTGATATGTTAAGGACTAGAAAGTACTAAGGCAAAACAGTCTATGCTTCAATCATTACAAGTTTTACTCCATAAATTGGCTGTCATTTTAAATAGCAAAATTATTGTGGTGAGAGCTCTGTAGAAACCAAAAGGATAAAACCTATAACTCAAAACATTCAAAATAGCAATGTTATTATTGGTTTTGCATTGCACTTTCCTTATTACAGCAATGCAATCATGTAACTTGCAGGCCTTGTTATATGCAGCAATAAGGCTACATAACTTATACTTAGATAGCTATGAACACTGCTTCCAGGATTGTGTCCTCCACAACAGACAGACAAACAGAAATGAAGACCCAGCAAAGCTTGACTGTATAACTTGGCTCGTACCAATATCATTGAACATTAAAAGTAGAACTTGCTGTGTTTTAAATGGGTATTAAAGTGATTTATAGCCTACGCCCTTAGAAAGGTACCTGCCTTTACACAGTGCGCATTTTACTGCTTGCCTTTCTTTCCAAATGTATTGGTTCTAAAGCCAATGCTCCATGTTGTATGCAGCACTGAATTCATTGTCAGCTCTCAACAAATGTATGTTCACGTTCAGAACAAGAGCAAATATTTATTAGTTCCGTATTAAGCTTTGAGACCAATCCCCATATTGTAATCAGGCACCTTGTGAGTATCTTCTGTTTAAATCAGTGTTTCTTAAACTTTTTAAGACCATGGAACAGCTCATTTTTTTTTATGAGGAACACCAAGGATTTTTTTTGTTGATCCAAAAAAAAAAAAAAAGGTTGGGGGAAAAGGGGAGGAAGGGTCGGGGGGGAGGAGAGGAAGGGGAAGAAGTTAGAAAAAAAGGGTTGGGGGAAGTTATTGAACAAAAATAGTCACCTGCCCCTTGAAGGGCAGCCATTTTGAATTCTGTTTTTCGCAGCACACAGTTTAAGAAACACTAGTTTTAATGAACT